TGGGCTGGAGAGATGGCTCAGCAGTTAAGAACACTAACTGTTCTTGCAGAAGACCCAAGTTCAAATCTCACCACCCACATGGCAGCTAATAACTGTCCATAACTCCAGTTCCAGGGGCTCTAACAGCCTCTTCTGTCCTCTGTGGGCACAGCATGACACGGGTGCACTCACCTACATGTAGGCAATACACGCATACACATAAAATAAAAATAATAAATATTAAAAAAAATTTTAGAAGTAGTTCGTTACAGCTTTAACATATTCAGTAACACATTCCAGAGCAAGGATATATCTCTTTCAAAGGTGGCTGTAAATTTTTAGGTTCACAGTTGAATTAATACAGTCATACAATATTGAACTCAGTATAAACCCTGTAATACATAAAATGGAATGAGTATAGTTAGTTGGCATTACTAGAAGTCTTACAGTAATATTATTGTTCCACAGATGGAAACAAAATAGTCACATTTTTTTTTTGTCTTTTTGAGACAGGGTCTCCCTGCAGTCCCTGCTGGCCTGAAACTCACTATGTAGACCAGGCTGGCCTCAAATTCACAGAGATCCACCTGCCTCTGCCTCCCAAATGCAAGGACTACAGGCATGCACTACCACGCCTGGCTTGTTTCCTACATTTTTTGGGGGGGCAGGTATTTATTTATTTATTTATTATTTATTTATTTATTGTGGTCTTTTTGAGACAGGGTCTCCCTGTAGTCCCAAGCTGTCCTGGAACTCACTATGTAGACCAGACAGACTGGCCTTGAACTCAGAAATCTGCCTGCCTCTGCCTCCCGAGTGCTGGGATTAAAGGCGTATGCCACCACGCCCGGCTTTTTTGGTCTTTTTTTGAGACAGGGTCTCCTAGCAGCCCCCGCTGGCCAGGCACTATCTGCCTGCCTCTGCCTCCCAAGTGCTGGGACTACAGGCATGCGCCACCACACCTGACTTGTTTCCTATGTTTTTAATGCTACTAACACGTTTGCACATGTGTCTTTAATCTCTATGTATCTGATTATTACTAGTTACAGTCGGTTACACTCGGATCCTTAGCACCTGAGTATGGATATAAAGTCATCTGGTAGATTCCACTGGTAGTGTTT